TGAACACCGTTATTCGCCTTCAAATATTCGGGATCTTGTGCCTACGATCCATGAACGTGTCTACATTGGTGTGTAACGTAAGCATGTGGCTGGGCGTGTGCAAGCTGATAAGTGTACTTGCACGATGAACTCGGCGACCTAAACTTGATTCCTGGCTACGGCGAACCCGTTTGGGACCCCCCCCCCCCGCCTTCAACCAACCCGGCCTGACCGGCGTGGTGAAGAATGGTCAGACGACCCCAATGACAGACGCCACGTCGGGGAGGCCTTCAGCTAGGAGTGGATTGTGCGTGAGCGTACATGTGAGCGTGCGACGAGGGGAACTTTGTCTGCGTAAAAGCGTGGATCTTTTGTCATTGAACCGAATTATCTCTGGCCCTCTTGCCTACAACACCTTTTACCCCAAGAGCCTTGGCCACCCAAATGTCCCATTATCGGTGGATTAGCCTTATTATATATGCAAATGTGTGGACAATAGGAAAGGGGCGGGCAGAGCTGCAATCGTATGTCATTATCCTCGTTTGTCTGTAGATAACTCGCAAATTAATCATCAGTTAGGCCCTAAATCCATCCCATTCCACGTGATTACCCACGGATAATGGAGATGAATACTGACTATGATGTTCTTTCTTTCATATTATTTGTAGTTACCAAAGACCTTGTTTCCGTAGCTATTAGGAGGAACACTTCTATTATACCGGACACACACTTGCTCAAGAAATGAGACGAGTTCCCCACTTTGTCCCAGAAAACACGAGTTGCACCGTACAATAATACACGTGTATAGCCCTTTGTCAACCCCCCACACCTGTACGCACGTACGTTGAGCTTCTCTCGCACCGCACGCAGCCAACCGTTCTAATCGGAGGTGCCGGGGGAAGGACAACCACACCTGTGCGAGTTGTGGGGGCTGTTTTGACCATACTTCTCCACTCCGGTCAGTGCGGGATGGTGAGGGTGTGGACGAGTAGACACGGGAAGCATAGAAATACGGTACAGCAATGGATGTTTGTCGCGTCGCCTTCCCCTACGCACCGTGGCAACATATCTGTGAGTGTGTGTGTGTGCGGTGTGGGGAGCGGTAGAGTAGTGGTTAGCGTGCTGCGCTACGAACCTGGCGACCCGAGTTCGATTCCCGCTCACGGCCACCACCGGTGACGATTATCTGAACCGGTCCTGGGCCTCCCCTAGGTCGACTCAGCCTCAAATGAGTACCTGGTGCGGTGTGTAAACATCGCCACTGGGGAGACAAAGACGGTCAGTCGTGGTAATGGCCACTCACCCCCTCGTGTACCATCACGGCCTTCATAGGTGCTCGCTAACAGCACTTGCCCCAATAGTTTGTGAAGGCTACACGGGGGATCTTTGTCTTTTGGTGCTTCACCCACCCACGCGCTGCCTCTGTCCAGGTTCAACCTTGCTTAGCTCTGGAGATACAACGGGATTGGGCGCATTCCACGCTATTTGGTTGTCACGTAGGCAAATGTTGTTTTTTGTATATATGTAATGTACACGCTCGTTAACTCTCCTTGTCTATTTGTGCACCAAATATGGGCACAATTTAAACTATAAAAAATATATAGGTTAAGGCCCACTGAGCTGTATTGCTCTTTTTCAGAAGCGACCTGGCCACAAATGATAGTGGCTATTCATATGGAAATGCATAACAGCCCAAGCACTCTAAACGAGTGCCGTTGAATCTAAATCTGGAAAGAAAAGCCCGAGTACCCGGAAAAAATTCCACGCGACCACGAGGAGAGAGACACGCTAACTCCAAATATACAGCAGGCGTCGGGGTCGGGTTCGAACCCACGATCTCCTGTGTACCAGGCGAGGTGGTTAACATCTCGCCACCGTATTTGATTCATGGATCTTACAGAGACTCATGTTGGACCAGTGTCCGAATGGTCCCCGAGGTTTGTTTTGGTCGTAGACCATATCACGGTCTTTTGCAATGAATATTTGACAGGATGCTGACGTCAAGGAGAGGAACACTGACCAACACGCGAATTGAGCCCTGGGTGACAAGTGAACAAGCTGGTAACAACGGTCCTTGCCTGCAACGTCTGGCAGTTCAGCAGCATTGATTCAAGCCGTCCTCACTCTGCCATCCTCACTCTGCTGATGAGACACTGAATTTCAAAACTGGCCCCTGAGGCTGTTATCCTCTTTTTACGGAATCAATGCTGCTGATATTATGAACTTACAAAAGGCCGTGCAGCCAATGGCTTATGTAAGAATACTTGACAGATATATGACGAGTACATTGTCTGAAATTTGTTTACCTCATACATTTGGACGTATATGTGTGTACATAGTCCCATACGGGAGTGTGGGTGGGTAGTGTAGAGGCTCGCGCGCTGCGCTACGAACCCGGCAACCAGAGTTCGACTTCCGCTCACGGCCAACACCGGTGACAATTATCTGAACCGGTCCTGGGCCTCCCCCTAGGTCGATTCTGCCTCAAATGAGTACCTGGTGCGGTGTGTAAAAGCATCGCCACTGGGGAGACAAAGGCGGTCGGGCGTGGTGCTGGCAACCCACCCACCCTCGTTTACCGTGCCGGCCTTCATAGGTGCTCGCTAACAGCACTTGCTCCAACAGTCCATGAAGGCTACACGGGGGATCTTTGTCTTACTTTTGTTTAAAGTTGCATACGGTTTATCGATTGAGTGCTTGCAATGTACAGGGTCGTACATTTATAGATACCCCACCGATTTATAATGATCCGCTCGCTTTCTTGCCAACAGGCGATAATTACACGTTGTAAAAGTGCAGGCCTTCACATAACGTCGGGATGGATGGAGATTAGCTGGAGATGGGATACGATGCTCTGAATGTAACAGTTGGCTTCTCTATACGGAAGTCTCCAGATTATTTGAGTGGGCCATCTATAAATGGGTCCCCATATATTTAAACTGCGCGCGCGTATTGACAGCGTCTCAAAAGTGGAAAAATCCGCCAGGGCGTTTTCTCAGTTTCGCAAAGTTAAATTGACGATATACAGACGTCGTCTGCTCACATGTGCTCCTACCTGTCAAGCCACACGATTTACCTCTATTCTTGTACAGGGAAATTGAGCTTTTTAGGTCCGTACGGCGTACATCCGTTTCAATATAGGCAAAAAACCCAACTTTTTTCTCCGTTTGCGTTTCTCCCTTGTGATGGGACTTTGCAGGATGAACGTTGCGATTTATAAGGGGCACGGGGCGACCAATTCGGTGTGGTCTCTAATAAGCTAGGCACTGATAAGGGATTGGGGCAGGTTTGCGTGTTGCTGTATAGGGCAGTACAAGTCTTACTGCTGGCAGAGTTTGGATGCTGGTATACAGATTGATGAGTAATGGAATTAAAGGAGACTCAGCTCTCAGGCTATGTACTTGATTCGGAGAGCCAACCCATTTTTTGGTCTACAATGAAGTCTAAGTTCACGTATAAAGTGTGCATGCATAGTGGGTATTAATATACTGAACCGTGTATACTTACGGGGTTTTGTATGGGTTTTGCGGATAACATCGCGGATCCTGATATCCGCAAGATGTGTCCTGCAAACACGTACGGCTGACGTATACAGCAATTGTACATGTGTGTAAACTGTAGTGACTTTAGTCTTCTCGTATCTACAAAGTATACACGGATGCACAACGGAGGAGCGGTGGCGCACTAATTAGCGCACTCTGCACTGAACCTGGTCTAACCCGGGTTCGATTCCCGACCACGGCTCATCAGCGGCGAGTGATATCCGAACCAACCGAATGTGCCCCGGACCAATGTGGTGAAGTATGGTCAAACACAACCCCCATGACTGACATATGCAGTGGGGGGGAGGTGAGGTCTTCATCCAGCAGTGGATTGATCATGCCCGATAACACGTACACACACACACGTACACACACGTACACACTTACACACACACACGTACACACTTACACACACGTACACACACAGTTACACATACTTACACACACGTACACACTTACACACACATACACACACGTACACACACGTACACACTTACACATACTTACACACTTACACACACGTACACACACACTTACACACACTTACACATACTTACAGACACGTACACACTTACACACACACACTTACACACAATTACACACACACGCGCTCCCCCGATAAAGTCCCTGTAATATTGGTGGCAGCTGCTGTGACACTCGCACTTGAAGTGCGTTAACGCACAACGTAGTTTAAGTAGAAGGCTTAATTCCGTGCTATTGCTAAGTATAATAACAATAATAACATATGCCGTGTGTGATGTGTGTTGTGTGTCTTTGTGTGGTTATTATACGCCGAACTTCTTTCGCACCGTACGTAGCAAAGCGATGCGCGGTGTTTATTTAGCATTGTACACATGTGCATGCTGTCGTGTGTACACTGTGTTGTACACAGTGAAGTGTATGAGTACACAGTTTGTATATATGTAGTATGGTAGTGAAAGTATACTGTACATGCGTTATGGTAGTAAATTGTACCAGTGTAGTGCAGCACACGCAGTCCAGATTGTACACACACTCTGAGAGGGCATTACACATTTAACACGTAGGCTTTCGCGACCAATATTATTCCTGATAAAGTGTTTTACCATGAATGATATCACTACACGTAATACACACCACACACTGCAGTAGCATACACGATCGCGGGTAACACTTAGCCACACACTACGAGTGATTAGTATACACCGTGTACACATACCAGAGCAGTTTAGTAGTACAGCGTGTCGCACTAAACACATTCACAGCATACAGTACATTTAACACGCACGCCAAAGTGCTCGCGATACACAACTGTGCACACACGGCGTATAGTACAGAGTACACAACGCGTACACACCGTGACAGCATACGCCGCACAGAACACAAGTGTGTAGCGCACACACTTGTGTTGGCACACCGTAGTACGCACAGTAGTGAACTGGAGCACACACAGCAACACACTTCACCAGACGTAGCAGCAACGCACGGCGCGACACCCACCACCATCGGGCTTCATATCGCCTGCCGAGCGCGGTCGCCGCTGGCTTCTGTCCTCGGACCGTCCTGCGACTGCAGGGGCTGAGGCGCTCCTCTCCGCCCCCCTCCGCCTCCGTTCTCCTCAGGTCACCGCGCCTCAGGCGACGTGCGCGGTGGCGGTGGCGGCGGCGGTCGCCTCGCCCGTGGCCGTGGCCTTGGCGCTGACGGCCCCGGCAAGCCCGGGCCAGCAATGTCCGTCCCCGACCGCGGCGCTCGAACGACTGAGCCCCATGTCCATCGCGTGCACGGACCCCGCCTCCCACACACGCGGGTGGGGCGGGGCTTCGGATGAGGCGGGGCCCCCACCGCTTTTGAGTCGTCCCATTGGCCCGAGGCTCAATCCCGGGGGGCGGTGGCATCGAAGCGCAACAAAGCCGCTGATTGGTTGCAGCGCGAGTGTGTGTTGCGGGGGGGGGGGGGCCCTTTGCGTGCGCTTGGGCTCGGTCTCGAGACGGGGGGGGGAGGCTCGCGCTTTACCGCATGAGGCGGCCAATCGGCGGATCCGCCAGCGTTTTGTTGTCGTTGCGCCTCGCCCAATCGGCGGCGGGAGAATTGACGGTGACGCGCCGCTCGTCGCGTCCGTTGACCAATTGGGCGTGCGGGCCGCTTCTGTTGCTGGGAGAGTGGGGTGGTGACCGCCCCCCACCAACTCCTCTGCTCACCACCCCCCACCACACAGCCCCCCACCCTGCCGACTAAGGTGTTCGGTAAAGGCGCAGCCCTGCAATTCCCTGCTGGTGGAAGAGGGCCTTTCTACTTGACGCCACGTCGACATAACCCAGACGTTGTTATGTAAGAGGCGGGATTACCCACGCTTAGCCCCACCACGCACCCCATGGACCCGCGTATCAGCCAACTCGTGGTTGTTCTGTACCGGTTTATACGACTCGGCAGGATGAGCGGTTTCAGAAACTTTGCCCCCCCCCCCCCCCAATTGTTTCGACTGATTCAGCTGCCGCGGCGGGAGATCGAACCGGTGTCCACTGGATCATTAACACCGTGGCAGCATCGCACCGTTAAAGCCCCAGTGAGGGCAGTGAGTGAAGGGCGGCCAATAGGTCAGAGTGGCTTGTCCCATTGAGGAAATGAAGAAGGGACATTGCCCGAAACGTCGCCTGTTATATTGCTTTTTTTACTGGTAGGAAACGTAGTGGACTGGAAGCCCAACCGGGATTAATTCACAGGAGGCAGGGGATTAATTGTGTATGTCTGTGGATGTCTGTCCACGTGTATCCGGACATTCGGATATAAAAAATGGGAGGGGTGGGGCTGGGTGGAGAGGGGAGGGTAGGGAGGGGCTGGGTGGGGAGGGGCTGGGTGGGGAGGGTGGGGAGGGTGGGGCTGGGTGGGGGGTGGGAGGGGTGGGGCTGGGCTGGGTGGGGTGGGGCTGGGTGGGGAGTGGCTGGTCACCCCGTGGTGCCCTTATAAAACTCATACATTTTTATTTAAAGCTTTCGTGACTGCAGGGATTCATATTCTTGGTTCTTTCGGTAAAGTCACGAAACGTCTTGAGAATGTTATTGTTTTATATTTTTATTATTTAATTGGTTCCCTTCTATGTGACTTTACCGAAAGAACCAAGAATATAAAACTCATAAAACTCAGCATTTAACCGACTCACGCCGGCTTGTGCCCGCCCTCACAGTCGGGCATATTTGCGGAATACACCACGCCGCCGTTGACCCTGGCCACTGACCGAGCAACCAACGTTCCTACCAGCCCCCTCCACAGGAATGTGTTACTTTTGAAGCCACAGATTAATTGACGAATGTGTTGATCTTTTTGTCGTTGTTATTTGTGCGCCACTGCCAATGCAGCGTCACCAGATAATTTGTTTGAAACAAACTTGATTTTAAGCTTTCGTGACTGCAGGAATTACTCTTTGGTTCTTTCGTGAAGTCACCTAGAAAGAAAATGAATAACATAATAAAATACTACGTTTCGATTGCAACACAAGCAATCGTCATCAGGTAGGAATGAATGAGAAAACAAACGTTGTAAACTTAGAAATATCATGCAATACAACACAGAGAGTCGGCTAACACAACAGTCAACACCCTACCTGGTTGATTACGTTCCTCCTAAGATTGCTAAATTTGTTTAAAAAATGTTTTGCCAGTCTGCTTGGCGGGGCGGGGGCTTGCAGCGGTGTTGAATGCGCGGCGTTCTTGCCACAAATTTAAGCCGAACATTATTGCAGGATATTGCTTTCATTCTTATTACTGAGAGAGCCAGCCTCAGTATTTTCATTGAGCCCTATCGTCGTGGCCTTAGAGGCACCACTGTTGTGGAAATGCCAAAACAACAACACAAATATTGCGTTAAGTGTTGTTAAATACCATTGGCGGGCGGGGGGGGGGGGAATTCCCCTCCCAAACTGGACACTTTTATTAATTAATTTTCAGTAGTTTACGATGAAGATAAAAAAAATATTCAATTGCATCCACCCGCGATTCCTAATGTGAGGGACAAAGCAAACTCCGCCCGTGTTAAATACCAATTGTCTCAATTCAATGTCTTTTTATTCAAATCATAATGGTCAGCTAATTGTTGTTGTTCGAGCACATTATATGTTCTTTTGTTGAGAAAACCTGGCACCACAGACAGGCGTGTAACTTGCCTTGAGAGCTATGTAACATTGAGAACCTTGCCGAATGGCCTCGCGGCCAGCGCATGGAACACTCCCTACTCTAAGTGGTAATCGTAGTGATACACTTCGCCAAACACACAAAAACACTTTTGACCTTCCAACAAGGAGGATGGATTGATGGCTTGAGAGGCCAGAGAGTCCAGAGGGGCCACACATCCCGGGCCAGAGAGACCAGAGGGGCCACACATCCCGGGCCAGAGAGACCAGAGGGGCCAGACAGCCCATGCTAGAGAGGCCAGTGGGGCCAGACAGCCCAGGCCAGTGGGGCCAGACATCCCGTGCTAGAGAGGCCAGAGGGGCCAGACAGCCCAGGCCAGAGAGGCCAGAGGGGCCAGACATCCTGGGCTAGAGAGGCCAGAGGGGCCAGACAGCCCGTGCTAGAGAGGCCAGAGGGGCCAGACATCCCAGGCCAGAGAGGTCAGAGGGGCCAGACAGCCCGTGCTAGAGAGGCCAGAGGGGCCAGACAGCCCGGGCCAGAGAGGCCAGAGAGGCCAGAGAGGCCAGAGGGGCCAGACATCCCGGGCCAGAGAGGCCAGTGGGGCCAGACAGCCCGTGCTAGAGAGGCCAGAGGGGCCAGACAACCCATGCCAGAGAGGCCAGAGGGGCCACACATCCCGGGCCAGAGAGGCCAGAGGGGCCACACATCCCGGACCAGAGAGGCCAGAGGCGCCAGACAGCCTGGACTCGAGAGGCCAGATGGGCCGAAGAGGCCAGACAGCCCTGGCCAGAGAGCCCAGAGAGTCAGGAGCACCTGTGATGCACACGTTAGCCGGGTAGGGTGCACTGCTGTGCTTGTAAGCTATGCATCGCATGAGAATGGCTCAAAACCTTATTAACCACTTAGTGGTAGATTGGTAGAGCAGCAGTGGAGAAGCTAAACGCTAATTTTAACATTTGCACTTGTTTAACGACATGGAGCCGACACGTAGGCCAAGTGAGATTAAGGAGACTCAAAGTGAGTGCTGCAGAAGGAATATTGTAGAGAAAGAAGACATTTCCCTCTGGGAGAAGGAAAAGGTTTTACTTTTAGAGAGAGATGAGTTCATATTGCACCTGCAGTGGGTTTTATGGAAGGCGGAGACGAATCTTTGGAGGCAACACTTTATTGCAATAACTCTACAGTACAGCCACAGTCTCGCACGACGGCAACGGCCCTTTCTGACTACCCCCTGGGGAGGTACTGCCTCCGGGCTAGCGTGCCCTATCACGGGGCTACGGCTCTGGGTCCTCCAGCTACGAGTGGCCTAGGGGAGGCTGCACTGACCCGACCCAGCCAAGGTACGGGTCCCGACCACTGGCCCACTCGGACCCGGCCCTTACAAGGATGTCGGGCCGGGGGTTCCCAAGTTCTCACCACTGGCCCACACAGTCCCGGCCCTTACAAGGGCAGCGGGGCTAGGGGTCCCAGGGTTCTAAGCTAGCTGGTCTTCTAGCTTCTGTCTTGGACTGGCCTCGGATCCTCCTGCTTTGGGGCTCGGGATATAGCGACTGCCCCTGCAGGAACGTGTCTGCCCCTGCAGGTAAGTGTACACAGCCCATTTACAGCGCTACACACCCGACTGTGTTACAAGGTCACGTGCCGTGGATTACGCATGCTATAACAGGTGACGGTAAAACACCACGTGCATGGATAATGATCACGGCGGAAGAGGCGTGTCTAGTCTGTGCCGTCGGACGTTGAAGAAAGATGGGCAACATCATTCACCTTCGCCGTTCAACGTCGGCAAGACCCGAGTACACCTGGCAAGTCACACCAGCTGCTGCATCAGCCACCTTGGCTGCCGTGCCGCCATCCAATCATCAAGCTGCTGTCTCCAGACGGTGGTCACCGCATCGCGTGCTTTCTTCGGATGCGCTTCTGCGGCCGTCTGGAACGCTCTTCCTTCCGATGTTAGGAAGCCCCTGGACGCTATGCACTTTTCAAATCATCCAGATTAACACATTCATTTTTGTAAAGCAGTTTTTTCCTTCCCTCCGCACCTCCGATTAGCACGGTTGGTTACGTACGGTGTGAAAGAAGTTCAACATACACACGAGCATTGTGTGCGCGACGACTTTCGCATTCGCCAACCAGAGGATTGCCTGCACGCCCACCGTGTCACGACATCTCGACGCTATCCTGCGAGACAACCAGCTGCGACACAGACCTGTAACTGACATCGACGCGAGTTCATAATTATCACTCTGACGCTCTCAGCAATTCCATCACGACAATTAGATTATCACATCTTATAATTGACAATCGCTGGAACGCAAGGCAACAGCGTCTCGGAATATATGGTGCCAATGGTATTCTGAATTTAATATATGCGTACAAAATATTAAGCGTGCTTCATATTTTGAACACGGATTGCCTTTGTTGCCATAGTTTGACTTATAATCATCATGGCATGCACTGGGTGTTGCCTTATTAACCTCAATTCTGCGTTAATTCATTGATTAATTTACTTTAGTTTTGTATTGTGTAACAGTATCAAGCATCAATTGAACCGAGTGACAGTTGCATATTTGATGACTGGTACTCATTTTTCAAAATATAAATAAGAGACTTTTTGCATTCAAATATGTTGTGTGTGTGTGTGCCTGAACGTCGTGTCTAATCCCTCCATTACATGCGAGACATAAAATAATCTGGACAAATCAGGCTGCCTTCTGTCATTGTGTATAACGAATCAATCATACCCGGAGACAAATCAAACGTGACATTAACTG